AACAAAAACATTCCATATCTCACATAGCACGTCACTGTTAGTTCTTGGGATTTAGTCATCTTAAGGCACTCTGAAATAGTTGGACACAGTAAGGTAATGAAAACAGATCTGTATTAAAGAAATGCATGATAGCATTTCTCACAGTTCCTATCATTAACTATCTTTCAAACCCACTCAGGCTACCTTAAGGTCTTCTGACCAAAGTGGGATTCTCACAATAGATTTTTTGCATTGTAGGATTAAAAGGTAATTTTACTTGCGGCCTTCTATGCCACTAAAAGTCGTACTGGGATGATTAATTACAAATACTAACTGCCAAAGTCAATGGCCTTTTCTTAATTAATTGGATTTCATTCAAATTCTATACACTATGCTTTCCCCACTTCAAGTTCTTGGAATTTCTTCACCCAAATTGGGGCTGGGGGCTGGACTTGCAATTTCATTGGTATAGGGAACTCCCAGATGAGGCACCTCCCTCTACCAATACAGATGAATGTCTTCTCTGCAATTTATAATTAGAGATGACTTGCCCAAGGGCACACAGTTACAAGGTGAGACCTGAAATCAGATCTTTCAAAACCAGCTCTCCCACATTATCTCCACCACCTCATTGACCAATTCTGTTCCTTTTGAATAAGACAAGCCCTTCTGCACCATATTTTAGTCATGGGTCTCGACTCACTAGTCTCAGCTATAGCTTTGTGGCTATATTTGCCTTTTTGCATTTTCTACTTCTTCAGGTTTATTTCTTACTTTTTGCTTCTGTGTATAGCTATGTAAGGCCAGTGGTTTTATTGCTGGTCTTATTCCTGGATAGTTTCACCTTTGAGTCACAGGCTGGTCATTTCTTTTGCTATTCTTCCTACGTTGTACACCCTGAAGCCCTCTAGGGTATGTGGCTTCTGACAGGCCCATCTGGGCAGTTTTCTTTCTTCTCCTCCATTTTCAGTTTAAAGCCTTCTTGGTCATCTCTACCGAACTCCAGGCAATTATATTTTCTATGACTTATTAGCTATATTCCACCCCTGCCTAAAAGTCTGTCATCTTTGTCTTCAGTTTCTTACTCAGAAAACTTACAGTTCTAGTGATCTAGGTTCCTTCTGACGGTATCCTTTGTGCCCACATCAATCTATGGGAGTAGGAGGTTTTCCATCACATCCCAAACACGTGAACTGGGGAAGATAACAGACTTCAGTAAGTCAGGCTGATGGTTTCTCCAAGACCCCTCAGCACAAGTCCTAGGACCACTTTCATCTCTTCTATTGCTGATCTTTACAAGGTGCCCTCTCTTTTGTTTGTACCTGTGAATCCTTATCACTGTTCTCTGGACCATAAGAAATTATTTTTTCCTCAGCAATTTCAGTCCTCTATCTGTGGAAAGAGTCTCATGCTTGTCAGTCTAAATAGTCAGCGGTGCCTCTTTCCTTCATTCTATATCTATTTCTTCTATCTTCCACCCGCCTCCCACAGGATAGGATTCTATCCTGCTGACGTCTCTCCTCCTCCCCCCACTTACACTAACTGCCACTGATGGGACAGGCAGGTCAGTCTAGACGAAGCAGCAATGCACCCTGAAGAAGAGACGGTAACGGGTAACGATTGGGCTGGTCACACCACCGTGACCACTGGTAGAGTCAGCCCAGGGTCCTGAGCACAAGAGCCCAAGAAGCAGCATCAGCGCTACTTCCAGCCCCGCCTCAGCAGCCATTATCAGGGAAAGGAGCCCGTGAGGAGATGCGACCTGGTAACTCCTTGTGAAGCTGCTGTCAGCCTCGCCTCCTCTTCACCCACAGTCCCGAGAACCTGGCAAAGTGAGTCCTCCCCGCCAAAGCCCTCCTCGCATCAAATGGCTCAACATTAGGAAGCGACAAGGGAAAGGACAATAGAAATGATGCTTTGCTGTTGTGACCTAAGGACCCTACCACCCTTCCCGGCACTGGGAGTAAAAACTCCCTCCGAGTGCGTGGCCTTCCCCATTAGCAGGCGAGTTTCTAGAGCAGGGAAGTCCCCCTTCTCTGTCTGCATCCCCAGGGCTCCGTACAGTGCTTTGCACTTCAGTAAAGGTGTTTTCATTCATTCAAAGCCTCTCCTTCCTTAAAGCACATCTTGATTTCCCCCCCAGATAACATGAAGAGCGCGGATGCAAATGAGGTTTCCGTGGCTATTACATCACATGGCTATTACCGAAACGCCAAGATTGCTGCCTTTCTGCATCCCCAGTAATAAACTTCTTGTTCTTCACCCCCGCTAGACCCGAGGTCTGGACCGCCGCGATGGCCAGGGGCTACGTGGCCCACTGGTCCCTCTTCTTGATCAGCTGCCTTTGATGGGCAATCAGTTCTCTCCTGCCAATTCCACAGGGAAACCGGGCCGTCCTCTGAGCAGGGTTAGAAATAAGCATTGCAAAAATAAAGTGTGAATAGAAATGAAGATACTAGAGATTGTTCCGAAAAGCAATGGGCCACGGAGCTTGAGAATGGCTAACCAAATAGCGATGCAGGAAGGTAATGGAATATTACTGCAGCTTAAGAAAAAACGAGCATGAAGAATTCACAGAAGCACAGTTAGGTTTATATGCTGTGGATGAAGAGTGGGTGGAATTAGGAAAGCAAGGTACCCAGTAACAACCAACACTAAAAATGGAAAGACTAATACTGGATGCTATGTAACTGTGGAGCAGCCAGGTGGCGCCATAGTGGATAGAGCGCCAGGCCTGGAATCAGAAAGACTATCTCCTTGAGTTCAAATCTAGTCTCAGACATTTCTTAGCCATGTGACCCTGGGCAAGTCACTTAACCCTGTTTGCCTCAGTTTCCTCATCTATAAAAGGAGCTGGATAAAGAAATGGCAAACCACTCCAGTATCTTTGCCAAGAAAACCCGAAAACCCGAAAACACAAAGAGTCAGACACGAATGAAATGACTGAATAACAACAAATGTAATTACGACCAATCTTAGCTCCAAAGAAGATGTGATAAAATGGACTTTCCCCCAATTCTTTGGCAGACATGGGGGATAAGGGGAATAAAGGACTGCATATATTGCCAGATGTGGCTAGGTTTTTTTTTTTTAATTTTTATTGATTTTTTTGTTTTTGCATTAACTTCACCTCCCAAAATGTCCCTTTACCATCCTTACCAAGAGGAGCCATCCCTTTTAGCAAGGAAAAAAGAAAAAAAAAGTAGTTCAGCAAAACTAACCAGAATATCAACTAAGTCCAGCAGTATAGACAGCTTCCCATTTCTCTATCCCTCCATCTCAGCAAAGAAGGGAGAAAAGGGGGCAGCGAGGTGGTGCAGTGGATAGAGCACCGGCCCTGGAGTCAGGAGGATCTGAGTTTAAATTTGGCCTCAGACTCACTAGTTGAGTGACCTTGGGCAAGTCACTTAACCCCAATTGCCTCACTTAAAAAAAAAAAAAAGAAAAGAAAAGAAAGAAAAGAAAAAAAAAGAAGGGAGAAAAGGGGTTGGTTAGTTTTGCTGAATTGCTTCTCCTCTCCTTTTTTTTGGTTACAATAAATGGTGCACAGAATAGGAGAAGGGGAGAGATATATTTTGAAATGAAAGGTATGGAAAACACATACACATACATATATATTATAAACATTAAAAAAAAACCCAACAGGATAATTGGAAAATATTTGGTGAAAACTTGTCAAAGCAATGAGAATAAAAATGAAACTCTCAATTTTCCTCTGCTGCTCCTTGACAGCAGGGATTGTCTTTTGCTTGTCTTTGTATCTCCCGTGCTTAGTACAGTGCCTGCCACATAGTAGGAGTTTATTAAATATTTACTGATCACCTGAGTACATCTAATTCGAAGGAAAAAACCAGAAGGTTTTAGATGTTCTTGGCATGTGGGAGGTAAGTGGGTTAGCATCACAGGATCAGAGATTTAAAGCTAAAGGGGCCTCCACTGCTATCTGGTTCAAACCCTCTCATTTTAGTTAATATGACTTGAATGCACCCATGGAAGACTATACTGTACTTCTGGGTATCCCTCCACTGGTTTCATACTCTGGTAGACACCATCAGAATTCATGGATAACAACAGAAGAGCTTTCAATATTACTTTATTAAGATGAAAAAATCTGTTATTTTTCTACAAATGCTGATAGAGAAGCATTAAAATGAAAGCATAATAATCGTCACCAAAACAAAGGACGTGTTTCTCACCAGCGTGTGGAAAATTTAGCAGTGAATGCTGTATGATTCTCTAAATACTAATTTTCCTTACATGACTACCTTCCACCTATCTAAAAGCACTCTCATAACCAGTTCTGAAAAAACGAGAAAAAAAAAAGGTTCTGTAAAATGTTTTAAGTGCCAACTAAAATCCCACCTTCAGAGCTTCTTAAACTTTTCCCACCAGGGACCCTTAAACACTTCTTAAACTGTAGGTCATGACCCATGGGGTCACAGTTTAAGAAGCACTGTCCAATGCCTCTTAATTCTAGTTAATTATGTCTGTTAATTATGTCCTACGTTCTGTTAATTATGTCCTACGTACCCTGTATATAGCTTGCTTGTATATACATGTTTGCATGTATGCTCCTTTTAGGCAACAAGTGAATTTTACCTTTTTTTGTACCCCCAGTGCTTAGCACAGTGCCTGCCCCACAACAGTTGCTTAATACATGTTTATTGATTGATTGTTTGATTATTAAATTCTTCCCAAGAGAAAAAAAAAGGTTGACATAAAACTATACTGGGGAACTGTGTTAGTATGAAGATTTGAACCTCCAAGGTTGTATAATTTTTCAAGTGTAGGTACTCCTTCTACTGACATAAAAATGGTTGTTATTAAATAAGATGGAGAATTATTCTGAATGATAAAACAGAGAATTAAGCATAATCAGGAAACAGGAGATCGGAAAACTTGGTCCCTGAGTTTAGCAGTCCTTCTAGATGACAAAAAAAAAAAAAAAAAAAAGGAAAAAAAATCTCCGATAATTTTCAAAAGCTGCTGCTAGACAGAGAAGACAGATTAAATCAGCTTACCACTTGAACCATTTTGAGATATCTGGCATATCTTGGATCCTTGGCTACAGTTAAGATATGTTCTGCTGCCGCTTCACATTTCTGTGGTCCAGTGTCTTGTATACTGTTCTGCTGTAGAGAGCATTGTGTACAAATCTTTATATAATTCAGAAAAGGGGACCATAATTCTACTTACAAAGGATGCTACTTTTTTGTAATCCTAAAGCAATTAACAAACTCTAATCTCCAAAAGAAAACAATCATATTTCTAGATTGGGATTAAGAATAAACTCAGGCATGTCACAAAATATTTATGCACCTCCAGATAACATTTCAAAAGAGGCTAATTTCAACTTTGATGTACTGTTTTTGGAAAGAGTAACTTATTTGTGGAAGGAAAAGACTCCTTTCAAAATCTGAACATTCTCAGAACTGTTAACAGGTCTTCTATATACAGATAATAGAAAGACACTATTTTAATGACATTTTATCATCAGTCCTTTAATTATCAAACTAATCTAAATTGTTTTAGGGGCAGTCAGTGACATCCTTATGTATCTAAAGTTGCCTCATCTGGATCTCACACTAAATATTTTAATTTAATTGTTTAAAGTTATTTCCACTTCTTAGAAAATGGTACTGAGACCATCACTATATAATAAATAGAAGCCTATCTCATAGATGAAATTCTCAATTTTGGGAGTTTCACATATATAATTATTACTTTTAACTCTGAGAAAAAGAAAAATTTTTTAAAAAATATTTGGACTGTGATTTCAGCAGTGGGGTATAACTCCCAATGTGGAAATTCCCTACACCATTACAGACTAGCAAATGTCATTTATAATCTTAGAGCACTGAAAAGCTAAGTGACTTGCTTAAAGTTATAGGGTCAGTCTGTGTCAGTGAAGGACAATGACCCCAGGTCTTCATAACCCCAAGGCTGGTCCTCTCAAATCCATTATGTCATGCTCAGTAAGAGTCATACAATTTTCTCAACATCTACTGTTTTTCACAATGATGTATGACCCTTAAAATTAAAAATGTATATACTACATAAACTACTTTCATTTCCCAGTAAACTGAACCCTTCTGTTCATGTGAATACTTCAGATAAAGTTAATGATTGGGAATTTAAGCCAGTACTGATGGTTACTTTCTGTTCAATTCTCTAGAGCAGAATTTGTTTGTAATTTAATAAAGCAAATTTAAGTGAATCGAAAGGGACCATGCAGTGAGTCATTCACTCATAAAGGTCTAGTACAGGGAGATCTATTCAGGTGCCGCTTGTCTGCCTTCCGCTCTCTGAGATTGCGATACCTGTTTTATATAGTATATACATACTATAATCATTACAATTTAAACTAGATCTATGTCTGACCAAAATTCCAAGTTAGGCTAAGAATAAATGTCCCCCAAACCCCAGAAGTCTCTCAACTTGAAATGTTTAACAGTCCCAAATGTACCACTAAAAAATTCAGACATATTTTATATTTTGTCCACATGTAGGTGAACATGTTGAGCTGAAACTACTAAATTAATTTGTAAAAAATTCAAACAAGCTTCCAAGAATATATTTTTATTTATGGACAATAAATTTGCACAACAAAATGGAGCAAATTTCAGTGAATACACTTGCTTAATAAATTTTAATTCATAACTCTTAACTCATGCTGTAACCAAGATTTCAATATAACATTTTGCATTTTTGCTATTTAAACAACTGTCTTGGGTCATTTACCATATCTCTCAACTGGCCCTAATTTTATTTCAGAACTCATCTCAATCTGCATGAATTAACTGTTGCTTCTGGAACAAATGGTAACATCTGACCCATGAAATACAGGTTGCAGAAAATCAGTGTGACATTTTAATTTAATGCTTCATAACTCCAAATCATGAGTTAGTCCTGTATTTAGGCCACAGGTTGAGAGGTACGGATCAAGAACACAATGTACACGATTACCCATCACTGCAAAGCTTCCCAAACAAATTTGGGGCTGTCTTATTTTAGAGAAATACAGACTTATTAACTGAGTTAATGATGGAGTCAATGGAAAATGAAAATGTGTTTATCAGCATAGCAGTATCAAGATAGTTGACATATGTACATCTATTTCAAGTTTACGTTGAATAGATTATTAAAAATTAATCCAACAAACATGCGACATTATTACAGTCTTACAATACATGCAGTGAACGGGTACACTTTACAGACGTTCCAACTGAACTGATGCACATTTTTTATGTCAAATGATAATACGTTGTATATCCACTTTCTCATAGGTACACCATCATTTTAGCATCACCCTGAGTTTGCAAAACATGTTAGAAATCTGGCTAAGAGTAGTGCTGATTAGTGTTTTTCCTAAGCAAAAAACAAAACAACAATAAAAACCCAGTCAATTTTTAATATGCTAGGACTCCATTAACTTTTCAAATATATTTTGTTGATAACATTCCATAGCAGCACTTAAAAGGCCTAAGTCACATTTCATCCCTGTATTGTTTTTAAGTTTGTAGACAGGAACATTATAACAGGTCCAGGGTACCCTGCCTAATGATAAATGTTTCCATGAAATCACAACTTGAGTCAAAAAAGGAAGCAGTCAATTGCTATTGAAACAATGCTATGAACGGGAAGGACACTCTTTGGGGGCAGGATGGGAAAGGGAGATCTTGGCCAGAGCGTGTCCAGAGCCTGGGGGATGGGGAAGAAGGGCTAAGCACAGGAGACAGCCAAGGAAAGGGGCCCTGAACACTCTGCTCCTATGAGAGGAAAGTTTGGGACAACCTTGACATAGTGCATGTAGGACGGGGGCCAAAGCAGGGGAGAAAACAAATGGGCAGAGGAGATTTAGGTGCGAGGGAGCACTAGGCCAGAGTCTGCCAGAACAACTAGGCTGGCCCAAGATGATGGGGCTCAGCAAAGACCTGATGCTGACAAAGGAGAGCTACGGTGAGAGAATTAGCTAAAATTAAAGTGGGGTTTCCCACTGTTAAAATGGAAATTTGGTTAAACTGCACTGTTCATGTTGGTTAGGGCAACGTTAATGGGATATGCCTGTACAACTAAGGATAAATTACTACGGAGTATATGAAATAGACAAATGTAAAGATTTCAGAAATCTCATTTAGGGGACAAGAAAATTTAGTTTGACTGAAAGAAGAAACAATCTTCTAAAGAAATTAAAACTCCTGTCCAACAACTATAATTTTAAAGTTTTACCTCGAACATACTTTTGGAGGCCTTTACGATAGATGCAACTATACACTGTAGACCAAATGAATATTAAACTACCCAATTGTAGGGAATTATTTGTCTAACCTGCATCCAAAATCCACATGAATATACAGCACAGTACTTTGTTCACAATAAGAGCAAGTAAATGTTGAATTAAATATATTTAAATAAAAATCCTAAAAAATGACTACAGACAGAAATACACAATTCCATATTGGTGAATGGATGTTATTACTTTGTGATAGCCTTTTAAAGGATTATAACAATGGTCTTGCTTATTATTAGTCTTTGAACTAAATACCTTACTGAAGTAAATATCTTTACTGTCCTTATCTCAAATTGTCCTTACTGGTAAAAAAAAAAAAAAACTTAAAAAAGAACTTTTAATATACTTAGCAACTGAACAACAACTTAAATTCAATCCAACAAAAATAAAATAAAAAAAACAAAAACAAAAAACACCACATTAACTGTGGGAGGTGAAGGGTAGAATCATGTTCAAGATTTTTTTTCTAACTCCAAATCCTTCATGTTTTCCTTTTTAATAGTTTTTTGGAAAAGATGAAAAAAATTCAACTTTAAAACTACTCTGAATTTCTGAAATGACCACCCTCCAAAAGCAAGCCAGTTGAACAAAGACAAACAGGAAAGAGAGGCTGACAATATTTTTACACTTCATATTTTATGCCATTTGAAATTTAGAATTCGACTCTTAAAACTTTTCCATTTTTCTTTATTTCTTCTTTCCACCCTAGTTGCTCTTCCACCAGGTTCAATCATGAGGACATATTCTTTGGGAAGTAAATATTAGTCCTCAGTACTTAAATACTTACCTCAGATTGAGGAGACAGAGATGGCTGTTGACCTGACGGGGCTTCAGGACCATTTGTAACACCATTAACATTTGCAGTCGATATTTCAAATTTAACATCATCTAGACCCGGAATAGATGATAGCTGAATATAAAAAATAAGTTCCATCATGAGGATAATGCTAAAAGCATATTAGGTTCTAGCTATTATTTTTACAACTGCCTCATCAAGTCAGTACTTAGATCCAGGGTTTTTTGTTATGTACTCTTTGAGTAGTGTGATAAAGCTTATGGTTCCCTATTCAGAACAATGGTTTTAAATGCACAAAATGAATACATGGGTTTGCAGAGGAAATCAATTATATTGAAATGCAGTTATAAAATTAAAAAACAAAACAAAACCAAGTTCTAACTTGGTTATGAACTCCTATCTAGACTATAGAAATCTACGGGTGTATAAAATTTCTAAGAAATTCTACATATTTTTTTATGTGCAAAAATATACTAAAAATATACATGGCAGTTAGGTTTATCATCATGTCTTACTTTGTTTGTAATTTGATTTTCTTTCCATTAATAGTAAACATCTTCCAAGCTGTACATACACTCATGGTGCATTTCAAACTTACACAATGGTCACTACTAGAAGATATGGATTCAGAGACATTTTCAGGCCACACGTTAATCAAGATGGTGATGAACTCTGAGGAAAAGACCAGTTGCTCAAGAAAGGGCCAAGTGCAAGACCAGTCGGCTTGAGAGCCTTTAGCAGCTGGCTGCTGAGTACCCAAGATTTCACCAAGAGGCAGTGAGTGGTCACTAACCTTTCTCACTGATTCATGGAAGTCAAGCTGTATGTCACTGTGGCGGAGGAGGGCTCTATTTTCAGGGAAGAGGAGTCACTAGAAGGTGATATTGATATAAAAAAGTATAGATATAGATATAGATAGATAGATAGAGATAAATATTTTTTTTTTTTGGTGAGACAATAGGGGTTAAGTGACTTGCCCAGGGTCCACGCTAAGAAGGGTCAAGTGTTTGAGGTCAGATTTGAACTCAGGTCCTCCTGACTCCAGGGCCAGTGCTCTATCCACTGTGCCACCTAATCACCCTTCAATAATATATTTTAAAAGAAAAAAAGTAAAACTGAAGTCAGAGGCCAAATGGGTTAAATAGTCTGAATTTCCGTACTATGTAAATGTATCCATTCTAATTAGTAGAGGATACAGGTAATTCTGACTGAGAACACAATCAACTAAAAAAGGACTGAGCACTATCAAAAAAAGAAAAAAATCACCTTTATGAGAAACGTAATGAAATCAGACCATGAGTCTACCTATACAGAAAGGGAAACAGAGAACAGACAAATGACTGTATAATGATCTGCAAAGCCAGTTTCACAGTAAACTCTCCGTTAATTGAAGTGTTTGGGGGATTTTTTGGCCTGATCTAGCTGACATAACCCTCCAGTTTAATTTTGTATGTATACGTCACTGGGCATTGTTGATATTGTAAAAAAAAAAAAAATTATGGAAAATCAGATCATTCTGGTGCTTGAAAAATTTAAGAAAAGATCTAAAACAATAATCTTTATTTTGTGGAGGCCTAGAGAGAAAGAGATTACCAAAGATGAAGTTGCTTTCAATACAGCAAATATTTGGTTGATTTTAGATTATTTGCTCTTTATTAGCAATTTCCAAATACCATTTTGTAGAATGTTAATAAAGTCTGCTCTAGAGAATGTGGACTACTTCCTACCCTCTGCACATGCCTGAAGTACACTCTTTCCTGTCTAAATTCCTATGAATACTTTAAAAAGCTCTAGGAGGGTACAAGCCAATCCTTCTTGAGCTTTCAATTCCCCCCCTACAAACAATAGGCACTCTAGAAACCAATAACCAAAAAGTCCTTAGTTTGTAGAACTGAATTGAGTGACCTTAACTGACCAAAGTGGAGATCAAACCCAGGATTTTGCCCTCAATCAAGGGCCAGGCATTTATTTAGCCCCTGAGATGCTACAATGTGCAAGGCACCAGGGACACAAAGACAAAATGAAAGTCTCTACCCTCAGGAAGCTTACACTCTAGTGGTGGAAATAATGTGTACATATAATACCAAGTAACTGAAGAGTGGGAATTACCAGGAAGAGTAAGGGAGGAACTGGAGCTGAGCTTCTGAAAGGCACTAGGGGTATTTAGAGGTGAAGCTTACTAGGGAATGCATTCCAGCCGCGGGAAGAAGCAAGGAGAAAGAATGTCGTACACAAGGAAAAGTAAGTTGACCTTATGGCTGAACTGTAGAGGAAAGGGGAATAATATGTAATAAGCACGGACAGACTGAAATGGTTTTTGAATGCTAAGCATTCAATCGAGAGGTAATAGGGAGCCCCTAGACTCCTTTTATTAAAGGGATTTGTTCTGTGAAGTTTGGATTCAGTCAAAGCACCGCACTTGAGGACCTGGGGGCTACATGTGGCCTTGAGGCCACAGGTTCCCCACCCCTGCCCTAGAGCTTTTCTGAAGTGCAGAGTAACACTGCCAGACCTGAGTTCAGGAATATCACTTTGGCAGCTACATGGAAGATGGCCTGGAAAGGGAAGGGAATTGATGGAAGGAGCCTAACACTTGAGTATTGGTAGAGCATTAAAACAAAGTGCAATTACATTAATCAAACAACTGAATCTCAAGAACTAATATACACTGAGAATTTGTCAGTGATGAAGGCAGAGGGACTGAGCCCTGAGTAGCCTTAATGTGTGTACTGAACTGAGGGCAGAGCAAGGAAATGTTCAAGGACACACCCTTTTACTCCCCAAACTATTAAACCATTCCAGGAAAGCCTGCTCTTACTGCTTCTTGAATCTGAATAGGGAGAGAAAGCCCATAGACTCCAGTGAATCCATGTCAAAGGGCACTTTCTCTGGCAGTGAAGATGGTAACCTACACACACACTTTTTGTTTTCTGCAACGATAAATAGGGGATGATAGTAGAGGGAAGGTCCACTGACTTTACACACACATACCCCCCAAAATTTTGAAAAGATATTGGCCAGACCAATGATATGGATGTTATGTTTATACAGAATTTTTATTACTTTCTGTATTGATGATTATTTTAAAAAATTTATATTTTTCATCCAGTAGGTTAATTTGACAAGGGTATCATCTATCATTAAGATTTTCAATATTTTAAAGAAATTAATATTTTAAAAATAGCTACTGGAGGAGATAATGTGTTGCATTTTAATTAATTAATTGGTTTTTTTTGCGAGGCAATTGGGGTTAAGTGACTTGCCCCGGGTCACACAGCTAGTAAGTGTCAAGTATCTGGTCTGAGATTGCATTTGAACTCAGGTCCTCCTGACTCCAGGGCTGGTGCTCTATCCACTGCGCCACCTAGCTGCCCCTGCATTTTATTATAATGAAAATAATGAACAGTTTAGAACAAATTTCATTTCTCCTCCAATTTTAGCTTTTGAAAACCAACAATATTGTAAAATGTTAGCTTTCTTACTACATATAAACAAAAAACTGACCTGATTCATCTTGAACTATACTGGCACTTAAAAGTTTTAGGATACTGAGAAAACTATATCTATGTCAAAGATAAATTGGGTAAAAAGACAAACCTTTGCATCCAAAATATTGAGAGTTGTTTCAATTTGTTGGATCCGAAGAGAAAGAGCTGACAGTTTCTAGAAAAGAAAAAGAATTGAGACATGAAAATGAAATTCACTGGCAACAATGGAAGACTGAAGGGATGCTGGACCAATTTAGGAATGAGAAAAAAAAAAGAGCATTCCATCCTACAAAGAGTGAGATGCAGAGGTAGGAAAACTAAAAAAAAACAACAACAACAAACATATATATGTGTATATATAAGAAATATAATGTCTTTAGCTTTATTAGAATTTCCAAGGGATTCACAGTAGGATACACACATAAAAACAAGGGTAACATAAACCAGCCAGCTAGAATTTACTTGGAATAAGATACGACTTTACTATATTAACACGTGAGCATATATCACTGGCCCCACGTTGACTTTCAAGATTCGAAAGTCAAAGGGTAAGATGAGCATGTTAGGAGATAGGTAATTCTTGTTGGGAAGGATTAAAGAGGAAGGAAAAAAAATCACAACAAATGAAAATGCAAAAGGAAGCAATCTACCATCAAAATCAAAGATAAACCAGAACTACAAATTTACCATGCTCTAATTATTCTGCACAATTAAATTACATATACATACATAAACAAACAACAGTATCATCATCATAAAATCTGATCCATAAAAACATTTATTTAAAAAAAGCCCTAACCCTAAACATTACCATATTCAGTCAAACAGTCCAAGACCAGTTGGCCAGGTTGCTTGTTGGCGAGTTTTTTGCATTCTGACTGTTTCCTGGCACATTATCAGATTCTGACTGGCTTATAAGGCTAACTTTAACACCCTGAGAAATGGTCATTCTGCCAACTTTTTTTAGAGAAATTAAAAAAAAATGAATATACAACCACAGTGTAGTTAGCTTTCTTACAGAAGACAGTTATTTTTAAGATGAGATTCTTGAAGTCTAAAGGACATTACTTGGAAAAAAATCAAAGATTTCAGAATGTGATTTAGATCAACTAAGGCCAAAAAAGAAATTCAAAGTCAACAAGAGAACCAAGTTTAACCTTAACCTGCTAGGATTTGTTCACTTAAGTTAGTCTGATTGTAACAAATTTAGGGCATTTTCAACAAATTCAAGGTAATAAAAACAACCTATTGAGATTTATCAGGTCACTGATTCAATGGTCAAGCTCACATAAAAATGTAAGTGGTTTTGCAAATAAATAAGTGTTCATCCCTTTTAACAAAAAAAAAATTGTCAAAATCTTTATCAAATTTTGATCAATGAAAGTGTACTGTATTACGAAACTCAATATTTAAAGGAACTCTATGATGAATCATTATACAAAATACATCTATGAAATTCCTAATATGTTATTTCTCTAAATATAGATGTTCATTCGGTGGGCTTGACTGGGGTAAATTTACTTGCAGTCAGAATGCAAAAAAACAGGATTTGAGAAAAAACAAACAAAACTAAATACAGTCTGATACCCATCACTTGACTCTAATACAACTTTGTCTTTTAACATATACTTCTTTTGACATTTTATAGGTTCCTTAAATATATAAACAAATCAACCAAGAAGCAGGCCTTTATTAAGGGTCCACTATATAAAAGGCACAAGATACAAAGGCAAAAATGAAACTGTTTGCAAGGAACTCGATTCTATTGTAACGCACTAGCTCAACCTAAAACTACACCAACATATCACTTCTGAAAGTTCACTTTTTTAATAAGTCAGATTCTGACACCAAGATCAGAGAGAAAGTTTCTAGCGTGCTGTCAGACAGGTATCCCTATTATAATGCAATATCTAAATTAAATTCACCTGCCCCAAATGGCCCGTAAATTTGGAATTAATAACTGCTGTTAACCTTTTTCCTAATCCTAATAAACCTCTAGGGAAACTAACTTTTAAAACTTTGGCAATTAGGACACTTAAAGCCTTTTAGGCTTAACTCAATCCATGAGGATTAATCCATTCAATTCAACAAACATTTATTATCAATTATCCTTTATTAACAGTCCCTAAACTATAAAGTCACTCAATGCCGGCCAGCCAGGTTTTTTTTGGTTAAGTATTTCCCAATTGCATGGAAAAATAAAATTTAACAATCATTTTTTAAAATGTTGACTTCCAAATTCTCTTCTTCCCTCCCACCCTTTCCCCCTCCTGGAGAAGGCAAGCACTTTGATTTTGATTATACACGAGATCATGCCAAATGTATTTCCATAGTAGCCATGTTGCAAAGAAAACACAAACAAAATAAAACAATAAAAATAAAGTGTTTAAAAGTCTGCTTCAATCTGCATTCGGAGTTCATTCATCCTCTCTCTGGAGGTTTTCATCATGGGTCCTTGGGAATTGTCTTGAATTATTGTCTTGACCAGCGTAGCTAGGTCTTTCACAGTCAATCATCCTTATAATAATGCTGCTACTGTGTACAATGTTCTCCTGGTTCTGCTCACTTCACTCTGCATCACTTCATATAAGTCTTCCAAGGTTTTTCTGAAATTGGCTTGCTCATCCTTTCTTATGGCCATGACAATCACATAGCACAACTTGTTCAGCCATTCCCCCACTGTTGGGCATCCCTTCGATTTCTAATTCTTTGTCCCCCAAAAAGAACTGTTATATTTTTGTACATATAGATCCTTTTCTATTATCTCTTCGGGATACAGACCTAGTAGTAGTATTTTCTGGGTCAAAGATTAGGCACGGTTTTATAGCCCTTTGGGCATAGCTCCAAATTGCTCTCCAGAATGGCTAGACCAGTTCACAACTTCACTAACAGTGCATTAGTGCCCCAATTTTTCCACATTCCCTCCAGCATTTGTCATTTTCCTTTTCTGTCATATTAGCCAATCTGATGGATATAGGGTGGTACATAAGAATTGTTTTAATTTGCATTTCTCTAATCAGTAGTAATTTAGAGCATTCTTTATGCAACTATCGATAGCATTGATTTCTTCTTCTGAAAACTGCCTGTTCATATCTTTTGACCATTTATTAACTGAGGAATCAGAAAGACAATTCTTAACAGATAGAGGGTTATGGAATGAAAAAGATAATTTGTGCTTGGCTTTGCTGGTGAAGGGAATAATTGAAGTGGAATGCAGAAAACAGACAAGTGGCTCTCCTCATGTTTTCAGTGACGGACTTTGATGGGGCAGAGTCTCTGAACAGTCTACTTCACTCACTAATGTGCTACTAAAAATAAAAACAACTTCTGTTGATATTGAAGGCCCAGGGCTTCCCCTGTTACTTTATCTGAGCCTTACAACAGCTGTGAGGTCAGTGTTGCTATTGTTCTCATTTTTCCTGTGAGGAAAGTAGACTCAAAGCTGTCAAGGGTTGTGTTTAACATTGTAGCTTGCAAATATCTGGGGTGAGATTTGAACCTAGGACTTTCCGACTCAAAATTCAGCCCTATATCCGTTATACTACACTGCCTCTCAAACACAAACTTTTGGTAAAGCATTAACAAACTTACATGAATGAATCACTCAAGCCACCAGGAAAAAAAAAGAAAAAAAGAATTATCTATTCACATGAGAGAACAGACCAATGACTACTAGTGATTTGTGAACAGTCTTCAGAACTAATTTCCTGGACACATATATGGACAGCAATCCGAACATCCTATGGTTGTCTTTTGCTCACTACTTAGCTAATTTGGTGATAGAATAAAGGTTCTGAGGAACATGAAAACAAAAGTGTTTAAACAAACCCTTGTAGCTTAAATTTTATGCCTTTTTTTTTGCTAAATTACATGTACACGCAAACACACACACATATAATAAACTGTACTGTAACAAATTGCTAAGTTTCCATTTTTACAGAAAAACAACCTTAAGTGCTTCAAATATTTATGCATGTGCATGTGTAACGGGATACTGGAAGAAGAGAATATTCAGGGAACACGATTTAAACAATGTGCTGACAACAGGGAGTGACAAAGAATTTAGAAAATGATCCAGTTAGTGTTAGTCCACAAAGCCTGGGAAAGAATGCCGACTATGTTAACCAGGGCTTTTCACAGATGACATTGGACCTGAGCAAAATCACATAAAAACCTCCTCCCTCCAAAATGATGGGCATCTCGAGGCTCTAAGTGGCAGGACTCCTCTTGTAGGACAGGAAATACAACACAAGGACAAGCAGTCGATTTAAACAAAACAGCGCCAATTCTTACCAAATGGCCAATGATAATCTTTGGTGATCTGGGTACCACCAACTTCTCTACGTAGAATAATCTGGGGCAATTAACAGCGTGAATGGTGTTTTTATGGTCTAGATCCATATAACAGTGACAATAAGATGCAAATATTGGCTTTCCAGCTGCAAGCGGGGCAGTCCCACTAGGCTTAGGTTCTGCGTGAATCCCCAGCACGTAATCCCATAATGCTTATGCAATTGTTTGCAGCCACCATGAACTACTCCTAAAGAATCTGGAACTCAACATCTTTTAAAATGATGGTTAAAATTTATTTTTCATGTAATTGGGAAATATTTATCAAAAGAAAAAAACTGGCTGGCTACCACTGAGTGACTTTATAGTTTAGGGACGGTTGTTAATAAATGATAATGGATAATAAATGTTTGTTGAATTGAATGGATTAATCCTCATGGAATGAATTAAGCCTAAAAGCCATGAGATGCTAGAATGGACATGGTGCATATTGGTGAAGTTAGGACAGAAGACAAGATGATAAGCGCTAACCTTTCTGTAGCACTTACTTTGTGCCGCACGCTGTGCTGAGGGCTTTATAATTATTATCTCACTGGATCCTCACAACAACCTTGAAAGGTAGGTGCTGTTATTATCTCCATTTTACAGAGAAGGAAACTGAGGCAAACGGAGATGAAGTGGCTTGCCCAGAGTCACACACTAGAAAGTTATCTGAGGCTAGATTTGAATTCAGGTCTTCCTGACTCCAGGTCAGATGCTCCATCTGCTAAGAAGATCTCAGGCTACTCTGAAACTCAAGAATGACAGGCCCCTTCTCCAGTGGTCTTCCTCCTCCTCCCTAACTCTAGCACGGCTTAGCAGTAAGATGGAAAATGGCAGCAGCATCAATGAATCCCTCCCATATCTGTTCTCTCTAAATAGAGAAGTCTCTGAAATATGTTACTGGGCAACAGAAAAAGGCAAGCAGCAGCCACCTTCACTCTCCCTTCTCCCCATCAACCATCAGGGGACTGGAGATTTGGAGGTTCAATCAGCTGGCATTCTGCCCTCTCCCCTCCCACCCATTTCACAAATGAGGTCATTTTGATCGAATGAGGTTAAGTAACTAGAATTTGAACACAGGTCCTTCAAATCTAAATCTAGCATTCTTTCTGCTCTGTCTCTGCCAAACGATTGATCAAAACAGTAAACATACTAAAAATGGGACTAGAAATGTTTATATTCCTTTGAAGGGCATATCAATTTGTTCTTTCTCCTGTGCTCAAGCTACTTTAAAAACCTTATTAATTACCTTCCTCTTGTTTGAGAGACTGAACATTTATTTCATTTTATTTTTTCCTCAAATGTATGACTTTTAGATTTATAAATTACGTCAGACTGTTAACAGTGAAATTCTGGCTTAGAAAAATTTAAACATTCACAGATTTCAATTTAGCCAAATCTGACCTACAAAGACAACAAAAAAGGGGCCATGTAGTACACCCCAGGAATTGTGGGGGGAAATGCATTATCCAGTTGAAGAATGGAACCTTATAATAAAAAATATGCCTCTAAATAAAGATCCACAGAACCAATTTTCAGCTCTAGAATAACGATCTTCCCTGCAATTATGGACAAATGATAACATTTTAACAGACCACTGTTTACTGCTCTAGTGGAAATGATGTACAGTTTTTTTCTTTTTACATTTCTTAGGAAGCAATGTCTTGCCTCCATTTGTAAAACAAAAGTCACCGAATGGATTCTAGGCCCGCTCATCCATTTAAACAGTGAGAGTAAGTAAATCCTCACCCTTTTAGAAGAGACTTCTTCAGAACAATACTAAACTGTACTGAGAAGGGACTAGAGCAAGTTCACATGGTACCTTAGATTTTTCTCATTTTTTCCAAAAACCGCAGAATGCACTATCAACCAGTACATTTTTTACGCAACATGTTAAAGGACAAAGGGGAAACTACATATTTCATGGCTGAACATATTATACAAAACCAAAATGTTGTGGCTTTGGGTACTGTAAAGTATACGCTGCTTACACATTCCGTACTCTACAAGAGAAACACCACTTAAAAAATGAACTTCTTACTTTTGGACTGTGGGTCTACTAAGGGCCCAAAAAGGAAAACCTGGTCAAGTCAATGGACGTATCAGTTTAAGGGGATACTCTTGAAGCATAACGCCTACTAAAATAAGGAGAATGTTGAGGAAAGTACAGGGTTTTTGCTAGTCACAACATCCAATATGTTTGAAGAATTTCAGCAAAAATGTATACTACGAGGGCAACAATGGTTAAAATGCAATATTCTATTTTATGTCTAATGCAGCAACATTCCTTTAATTTGTAAACTCTGAATGGTTCTAGTGACGAAGGAAAAGAGTCAGTCATTTTTTTTCTTTAATTCAATTCCAGTTTGGGTTTAATTGAATGTTACAATTTGGTTTGGGTTCAAAACAGGTCAGATGGAAAAACAGAATTTTTTTCATTTTTTTCATTTTTTTTTTCACTTCAAAAAATAGCAACTAAGGATTATTTTTCATTTGAGGAAAAAAAAATAACTACTTGTGTCTGTGTTTGATTGTTCTTCTGAAAAACGAATCACTACATTCCTTAAATGTGCTAGTAATATATTTAAAACAGTTATATTATAAAATATAAAATATATATTTGTAACCAAACCAAACACTCTCCACCTTGGAAGAAAAATCACTTTATATGTTACATATACACATCATCTTTCTGAGGACAATGATTACCAGATTTCCCAGTTAAATAGACATTATGTGTGTGTGTACATGTGTACACAAAATCAAAAATAAATATGGTTGAAATGACTGAAAGCGCACACTGTACTTACTCTCATATAAAAATGACTTAAAATGCCTCCCACTCCACTCTTTCTCAATAAATATACAGCCTGGTAATAGCCAACATTCTACTAGCAGCAGAATGACCGGTATATGATTTTGGATCAGCTCCTAATTATCTATCCTATGGCACATAGAGAATAAATCAAATTCCCAGGCAATGCTAAATTTCATTTCCGCTTAATCAATAGTTGCAATCTTCTTCCACAACAAAAACTTTGGGAGTGGGTGAAGGTTTTAAGGAGCACTGAAATGTACCCTGCAAACTTCTCTCAAAAAAAGGCAACTTAGAGCAGAGAGAAGAAAGAAGTCATGGGGCCCAGAAAATTCAAGATGCTATCTAAACCACACCTGCTGATAACTAATTCGAAGACAATTGTAGCTGCTGCCTTCAATGTAGTTGTTAGTAGATGCTTTCAGAAGAGATGTGATGCATGAAGGTGAGAGAGGGCTACTGGGCAGCTCAACAAAGCGTTTTTGTATATAAAAAAGAGGAAAGTTAAAAAAAAAAAAGGAAAGTTTCTGTAATATAGTAGGAAGACAGGAATTCTTTTCTCCTACTCATACAAGGACTTTCCCAATGTAGCTTCTTCATCTACCCCAGAATGGTAGATTTTGCTGCTCCTACCCCTTGCTGAAAGCCTGACTATAATTACTTGAGTGTTGCTTAAAAAAAATCCAAAACTTGGGGCAGCTAGGTGGCACAGTGGATAGAGCAACCGGCCCTGGAGTCAAGAGGACCTGAGTTCCATTCTGGCCTTAGACATTTACTAGCTGTGTAACCCTGGGCAAGTCACGTAACCCCAATTGCCTTAAAAAAAAAATCAAAACTCTAAAATAGCAGGAGGAAACAAAATCGTGTAAAATGTCTGGAAAATTACAACTTACAAGAATCAAATTCAGGTGATTCTAGGTGTATAAGAACAAAGAGGTCTGAACAAATGAGTATTGGCCCTGATACTAGAATTGGTTACAACACACTTTTCCAATAAAAAACAATTCACCTCAGTTTTTCTGCCACTCGCCAAACAACCTACCTCTTCACAAACTGTAGAAAATCGGTTAAGGAACTGTACGGTATGTACCACAAACTGGTTCAGAAATGCAACAGTCCTTTTCTGTTGAATTGCTGGCACCTGCATTAAGTAAAAACACAACATAATTAACATAAAACACAACATCATTTGAACAGGAGAAATGGCTTTCATTGAATGCTCTCGATGGTTCAGTACTTCGTGTGAGATCCAGGCACTGCCGGGAGTAGAAAGAATACTCATTCTGGAGTCAGAGGGCCTGGGTTCCAGTTTGGGCTTTGCAACTCACTATCTGAGTAATTTTGGGCAAGTCACTATCCCTCTCAAGGTCTCAGTCTCCTTATGTGTGAAATGAGGGAGTTGGAGCAGATCATTTCTTAGATCCTTTCCCACAATTCCTAGGAGAGCTATCTTCAAGTATTTAAGAGGTTAACAAACAGAAAAAGAATTCTACTTGCTTGGCTTAACCTAGGAAACCAAACCAAATCAAACTGGGGACAAAGAGTAAAGTCACATCTTGGTTCAATACGAGGAGGTGCTTCCTGATAATTAGAGACGTTTGGCAGTGGAATGGGATGCCTCAAAACGTATACAGGGTCAATCCTTTAGTGGGAGGCATCTTCAAGATATTCCAGGCCAATCTCCTCATTTTACAGATGACAGAAGTGAGGGTCAGAGGCAGGAAGTATCTCATCCAAGGGCACAAAGGTATGAAAAGGCCAGTGTTCAGGCCCTGAACCCAAGGTTTCTTCCACTACCCCATGCAGCTCTGTGGTGAAGTCTGAAGCTGACCAAGAAATACAAGATTCAGAATATGGAGAATCTGTATTGACCAAAAAAAATATTTTTTTAAGGAGACAATGAAAACAGGGTACAAGGGGAAATGGAAGTAAGTTGTGAACACTGGGGAATTCTGGGAAAGAATTACTTTTCTAGAAGCCATCCGAGGATAGACATGGAGAACTCCTTTTTGAACCCATGCAGGATCTTAATTACTTGTAATTTAAAGGGGCTGCCTTGGGATCAGTTATACTTTGTGGCATTTTGGTGCCACAAAGGCACCAAACAGGGGATACAAAAAGAGGTAAAAGTCAGTCCTTGTCCTCAAGCAATTTACAAGTTAAAGGGGGAGACAACATGTAAACAAATACATACAAAGCAAGCTATATACTCGAAATAAATAGGAATTAAGAGGGATGGTAAGGGGCAGCTAGGTGGCACAGTAGATAGAGCACTGGCCTTGAAGTCAGGAGGACCTGAGTTCAAATCCAGCCTCAGACCAAACACTTAACATTTACTAGCTGTGTGACCCTGGGCAAGTCACTTAACCCCAATTGCCTTAAAAAAAAAAAAGAGGGATGGTAATGGTTTCCTGCAGAAGAATCTAGAAGGAAAGAAGGAGAGTGTTCCTGGAATGGGGGACAGCCAAAGAAAATGCCTGGAGCTGAGAGATGGAGGGTCTCGTTCGAGTACCAGCCACAAGATTGGGGTCAGTTTTAGCCTTAGTTCTGTTGCTGTGTAAGCGTGGGTTAGTCACTTCTCTGGACTTAGTTTTTCCCATATGTTAAATGAGAAGGTTGAATTAAACTTCACAATCATTGAAAAACAATCAAATAAAATGGACAAGGAACAAAATCTTTTCTCAAACCTCTAGGCCAGGCATAAGGAACTTGTGGCATTCTAGGTCTTTGGGTGTGGCCTTTGGACGAGTCCAAGTTTTACAAAACAAATCCTTTTATTACGGGGATTTGTTCTATGAAGTTTGGATTCAGTCAAAGAGCCACACTTCAGGGCGTAGAGCGCCTAAGGGGCCTCGAGGCTGCAGGTTCCCCACCCCTGCTCTAGGCTTTAAGCAGGAAGAACCATGCCAATTAGCAACCAATCAACAAGCAAAGAAAATACCTGAGTGTATTCAGTGTCTCCTAAGCCTGTCCCAAGTACTGGTGCCCTATCTGTGAAGCTGGACAGTGTAACCATGCTGTATCCCTCCGAACAACTAACTGGCTTTCTGTTTCTGAATAAAACAAAATAGCTTCTTGTGTTCTAAATGATGAGAGGGGTATACGAATGGTTTAAGGCAGAGGAAAGGTACAATTCCACCACCACGATGTGGCCCAAGGGTTTCCTGGTCACTAAAGGAACGTGAGATCTGGAGTCGAAGGGCTTGGATTTAAATCTCATCTGTGTTGGTGACCTGAAGCATGGCACTAAACCTTGGTGGGTCCAGTTTCCTCCCCTGCAGAGTGGGATGCAGAGGGCTAAATGTCCTCTCATGTCTCTCCCACCTCTCAATCTAGGAGCTGCCACTCCTGTAGTCAGGGTCAGAAGACTGGCTTTGCCCCGTAATCACTGGAGTGACTTCGGGAAGTGGCTTATTTTTTCTATAGGACTGTTTTCTTATCTGACACCGAGGGGCTCGGGCAGGATGGCCCCCTCTAAGGTTCCTTCTAGATGATCTGTGATGAAAATGAGCTTTGGGACCGGATCTAGCGCTAACGGGGACCTCAGGAGCATCTAGTCTGACCCCCTCATTTTACAGATGGGGAAACCGAGGCTCAGAAAGATCACGGGATCATGGATTTAGGGTTGGAAGGGACCTCAGAGGCATCTAGCATGACCCCCTCATTTCACAGATGGGGAAAGGGAGATTCAGAGAGCAGAAGTGACTTGCCTAGCCCCTAAGGTCACACAGACGCTAAATGTTCTCTCTGGGCCTCAGTTTCCTCCTCTGTCAAGCGAGAGGATGGGTCTCCGTGACCCCCGGGAGCGACCCTCCTCCCCTACCAACCTTGGTCAGGTCTATGCCCGACCCCATCAGAGGCAGCCCGTCCTCGTCCATGGCCCCGGCGAGCGGGCCCCACGCCCCCTGCTTTCCCAGCCCGGACCCCGGGAGCGGCTCCCGATCGGCCCCCTCAGCCTGAAGTCCCACGGCCCTTTCCCCCCGGAAGTAGACACGCGAACAGCCGAGGTCTCTGCGCCTGCGGAAGGAAGAAACGAAACTCCCCGGCCCCTTTCGCACGGCCTTCTGGGAACTGTAGTTTTGTCCTCTACCCTCCCAGCGGGGAAGTCGATGGCGCATGCTCAGAGTAGTGCTTGAAAAGTTAGACTGGCAGTCAAACTTGGATAGAGCTAAAATCAGACTCAGAGCTAGAAAGAGAGCTCACGTGGCCAGGTAAGCACGTATGAACTTAGGGTCATAGCTCCAGAGCTGAGAGGTGGCCTCAGGTGGCCAGGTGACCACACCTGTACTTAGGGACATGGCTCCAGAATAGGGAGGGAGCTCAGGTGGCTCTTGACTGCAGAGCTCAGAAAGCCTCCTCTGACCTTGTAGCCAGCCATACCTATAAGTAAGGTCATGGCTCCAGAGCTAGGAGTAACTCCAAAGGCCATCTTGTCCAAATTCCCTTATTTTACCATAGAGAAAACTGCAGCCCAGGGAGGTTGAGTGACTTGCCTAATATTTGGATTCATATTGGGCTGATATTTAATTGGAGTCAATTATTATTCACAGCATAGTTGATCTGTGCTCTGAATAGCGGAAACTACTGGTGTTACATCTTTGTAGCTCTGAGAACAGAAGTGATAACTACTCTGCACTGGTTTCTGAATGCAACTAGAGTGTGTTGCTGTTCGATCACATCTGACTGTGACCCCGTTTGGGGTTTTCTTGGCAAAGATACTGCACTGGTTTGCCATTTTTTTCTCTAACTCATCTTACAGTTGAGGAAGCTGAGGCAAACAGGGTTAAGTGACTTGCTCAGGGTCACACAGCTAGGAAGTGCTTGAGATAGGATTTGAACTCATGAAGATGTCTTTCTGATTCCAAGCCCAGTGCTCTGTTTACTGTGCCATCTAGCTGCCCATGCAACTAGTGTAGAATGCTAAAAATTGGTAGATGAATAGAGTGGTTTTTCCTCAAAGCTAATTTGCAGTGCATTCAACTGAATTAATGTTATTAGACTGGCAATAAGTTTTGTATTAATGCTAGTGTTAAGTTGGGAAATTGTAGGGTTTTTTTTAACATTGTGATTTTGGAAATCATATAGAAATTTTTTTTAAATTTTGGAATGATATTTACAAGTATGATTTTTTTTTGTAACATTAGGATAGATCTTCCTTGATCAGAAAGCTATGATTGATTTATGAATTAGTACTGTAACTTATTAGAGACTTTTGTTGGTAAAGAAAGAGACCTCCTCTTAAGTATGCAAATGTGTGTATTTTGGTTTGTAAAAGAATTGATCTGTGTTTGGTAAACCATGCTGCAGAAGGTAGCAAGAGAAAATTGTCTGCCAGACCTTTTCTTTGGGGTATGAGACAACATTTCAGTACTGGACACGTCCAGAGGGCCCCTGCTTAAATTCCTCCTTGAATGAACATCAGCCTGTTCATAGGAAAAAGGAAAGTTAAATGGAATATTCAGGCCATGAACAGACTTTAGCATCTCTGATCCATAGAGTGTGTGAAGCCTATTATGAAGGATTTTTCAGAAGTACAGCCCAAAACCATACTGGGAATAGTGAGGCACTTGGGAAAAGGAGGTGAGAAAAAGGAGATATAGACTGACTGGGTAGCTCAGTGATGGAATCCTGGACTTGGAGAAAGGGAGACCTGAATTTCGAACCTGTCATAGACGTATTTCCGCTGTGTTAGCCTCGATTTCCTAATCTGTGAAATGTAAATAATGGTGCCACTTGTTTTATAGGATTGTTGTGAGGCCTTGTGAACTGTCATGTGCTCTCTAAAACTATTGACTAGAACGGCCTACATGATGGTTCTTTTATCTTTTGGTGTCATATGGGTTGATTCTGTCTAAATGAATAAACACTATAGTGATGAACATGTTCTTGGCATAGTATATATGTTTTTATATGAATTGAAATTGACCCAGTTGCATGGGAAGATTTCAGAGCAGTCACCAGGGAATTTGCCCAAAAACTTTTTGTGAGCCAATGACCAAAGGATAGCTAGAAGGTTGGGATCGCTCCCAAGATCATATGTACCACAGTGTAAATGAACTTCTGCTAGCACATAGTAGAGAAAGGACAGGGTGATTGTGCTACTAACTTCTTCCCTGTCCAGAGAAGGGGATGTACCATTTCAGACCAAAGAGACTCCGATCCTGTGGTAGAATGTCTACCATCTCTAGGACAAAAGACTGTATGTTAAAGTTGTGATGAATTCCTTTTTGGAAAGAACCGTGGAAGGTCAAACTGGGAATGTGAGGTGTTTTATGTTGAGCATTATTTTGACTGTTATGTTGCTTCCTGCCTCGGTGATCAGAAATGTACTCTGAAAGAAGGTATTTATTAAGCATGTGTACTGGGCTGCAAATGTCTATAATGTCTGTTGTACAAATGTTGCCATTGATGACTACAATGGTTCTTTATAATGTCACTGCATTTCGCAAGATGGTTCCATGGTACTGGTGACCTGAGAATGGGATCATAATGCTCTCTAATTATAGGATCTAAAATTGTGAACATTGGTATATGATTAAATGCTATACATAAGATTTTTAAAGCAATCCTATAACAACATGTTGCTTCCCAATATTCTTATTGCTTTAAGACTTCAGCTGTGTGATTGACATAACTTGATTGGCCCTGGGTGGATTGGATTGGATATTTTGGGATAATGTTAACACTGGCAATTTCAGTCTGGAATGTACATAAACACCTAGAAAGAAAATAGACTTTGGAAGGGATACATAAGGCGTCATTAGCCCTATAGATGAAGGAACTGAGAGGTGAATATGAGTTGCCCAAAGTCCTCTGACTCTTGGCATAGAACTCTTCCCACTCCCCCCCCCCAAAAAAAACCAAACTGCATCTGGTAAATACAATGTAATAAATGCTGTAAGAGATGGGAAGCAAAGTGTTAGAATCAAAGAGTAATGGAAGGCATCACTTTTAGTTAAGATAGTGCAGTAGTGTGCACAGAGCGCCAGGTCTAGAGTGAGGAAGACCTGAGTTCAAATCCAACCTCAGATGCTTACTAGCTGTGTGATCCTGGGCAAGTCACTTAACCTCTGTTGGCCTCAGTTTCCTCCACTGTAGGGGACAATAATAACCCCTATCTCCCGGGGTTGTTAAGAAGATCGAATGAGATAATATTTGTAAAGTGCTTAGCACGGTGTCTAGCATGTAGTAAGCACCATATGAATGTTAAGCTATTATTGTTAGTTGGGGAACTCTAAGAGAAGGCTTCATGGAAGAAGTATTTATTTGAGATAAACCTTTTAGGATAAATGGTGTTGGAAGTGGATTTTGGGGAGAACGTGACTCCATTTTGTCTAGTGTTTGCTGTTTTTCTTTCTCTTTCTGTGTGATGCCTCTTCAAGTGACTCCTTCAAATACCTCCTTTCTGCCCAATCACTTTAAGACTACAAAAGAAAACTCAGAATTCCTTAACTGTTGTTCATCTTTCATTCTCTAGGACAACCATAAGGGTGATGCTTTGAGTGCAACAGAGCTGAGCAAAGTCATCGGCATCACTTTCTCCTCCGGAGTCATTGAAGTCCAGTGGCAAGACGCAAGTCAAGATGACTGTAAATGGCCCAGGATACTGTGGCGACCTTGGCCTTTCTATATTAACGTCTTTTCCAGATCTCAGTTTGTCGGAGGCTTTGCCCATTCAATGACTAAGGGCTAGGTAAGAACTGAGAAAAAAGATGACCCAGTTTGCCATCACAAAACTATCATTCTGGGAGGGAAAGACCCTTAGAGTTTCTGGCTGGAACAGAAAACAGTTGCTATTTACACTCATTCAAGGACCTCAGCAGTTCCAGAAAGTCACCCCTTTCTCTTTATCCTATCTAATAAAGCACTTTAATGGTCCCTTAACAAATGCTTATTCACCAACTGACTAATAAAGAAGGTTCAGTTTTCTTTGGTCTAGTGCAAATGGCTATTATAGATTTAAAATGGATAGATACACATATTTTGTATGTGAGTGTGAGTGTGTATATGTATGTGTATGTATATATGTATGTGTGTGTGTACACACACACACACACACGTATGCCATTGTGAGATACACATGCCCATCACCTCCTTGTGTGTTTCATACTTTTGAGTAAATAAATAAACTGCATTTATCTGCCTGTTTATATCCTATGTTGTCTTATTTGGGCAGTAGCTAGTAAGGACTGGAAAATTCTCCCAACAATAGGATTTCATAGATTCAACAAGAATTTATCAAGTAGCTACTATTGGCCAGGTGGCAGGCTAAGCAATGAGGATAAAAAGATGAAAATAAACTAGGCCCTGCCCTCAAGGAGCTTACACCCTGCTGGGGGGAAGCGATATGTACACAGAGAAATACATGCAAAATAATTTTTTTGGTGGGGGTAGGGAAGAGAACATGGGAACCTTTGTGGTATTGGGAAGGCCTTATGTAGGAGGTAACATCTGAGCTGGGCCTTAAAGGGGAGTATGGATTCAAAGGAGCTAAAGTAAGGAGGGAGAACCTTTTAGGTGTAGGGTTCAGGCACAGGGGCGGAAGATGTTGTGTCTGAATGACTGAACAAGTTGTGATGTATGAATGTAATGGAATATTATCGTGCTATAAGAAATGATGAGCAGGTGGATTTCAGAAAAACCTGGAAAGACCTGTATGAACTGATGCTGAGTGAAGGGAGCAGAAGCAGGAGAACATTGTACACAGTAACAGCCACGTTGTGTGATGACTAATATTGAAAGACTTAACCCTTATCAGCAATACAAAGATCTAAGACATCTCCAAAGGCCTCATGATGGAAAATGCTATCCACATCCAAAGAAAGAACTATGGAGTTTGAATGCAGATTGAAGTATACTATTTGCTATTTTTTTTCTTCTGTTGTGTTTTGTTTTCTCTTTCTGGTGGTTTCTTCTATTGGTTCTAATTCTTCCTTACAACATCACTAATGTGA